CATCCTAAATTCCTTCTAGAAGGTTCTATGGTAGATCCTACTTAGATAACCATCCTAAGTTCTTTCTAGAAAGTTCCACAATGGTTCCTACATGGTCCACTAATCTAATCCCAATTCTAGAAACTTCCATAATTTTTCAAACATGGTTCCAACTATCTATCTCTATGTGCCAACAATACAAATATCTTATCTATACCCTGTTACAAGTACCTTATTATTAATAATTCTAGAATCACATTTAATTAAGATAGTCTTATTAAAAAATAAATCCAAATTCATTACATATAGCAATTGATACCAATTCTATCTTTTATATCACAACTTAAAATATGGACTTGTTTTCGGATGTTTAAATATCACAAATAGATTCTTATATCTCAATACAATACTTTTAAAGCACTTTGTCATTAGAGTAATGACTAATGCAACAAGTATTTAAATCACAAGTAAAAAGATGACCAATTAACTAATACTAGTAAGGTAAGAGAACTCAAAACTAAATTTAAAATATATATATATATATATATCAAAAACTTTTATCATATCTTTATAATATTAAAATATAAAACTTAAATCTTATATAAACAAATAGACCTTTAAATAAGTTAGTTTTTGTGTAATATAAATACATATTATTTCAAAATAGATGTTTTATGTATGATGTAAAAGAAACGACTTAAAATTAGTTATTTTATAATTATAGTTTTAAAAAGTCCAAATAATAATAAATTAGCTTTATAAAAATAATAACCTTTAAAGCTTAAACTATTCTTTTAGAAGTCTTATAACTCCTAAAATCAAAATATAATTAACTTTATAACTAAACTATCAGATATGCAAATATTAAATATAAAAGACACGTTAATTTAAATTTTTTAAATAAACATGCCAAATTAATTGAGAATATTTTTATATTTTTATATTTAAATTCTTAATCTTAATAAATTTTAATATAAAATATTTATGTATAAAATTCTAAAAAATATTTTTAAAATATTTTTAAAATATGATATTGATTTGAATTTATTTATTTATTTAATAGAAAAAATAAAATTATTTTAGTATTTTTAATGTATAGTATTTTTAATATATAGTATTTTTAATGTATAGTATTTTTAACATGTAAGATTTTTAGGACTCCAAATGTATAAATAAAATTATAAGTTTTAAAATTAATAGAATTGATCAATCATTTTTTATTTTAATAAAATAAAATCAACAAAAAAACTAACAAAAAAAAATTCAATTTTTAAAAAGCTATAAACTAATAGAACATTCTAAATCCACCATTATATTATTAGATTCAAAAAAATAAAGATATATATCATATCAAAAATTAAAAGAACTATATATTTGTAATATTAACTCAAAAACCAAATAAGTCAAATCTTTAATATTAAGCGAATGAAAAACGTTCAAAAACAATTGATTGTACAATTTCAGCTTAAAAATTTTAAATAAAAAGATAAAAAATTCAAACCTAAAAAAATATTTTATTACAAAATTAACTTTGACGTGAAAAATTAAAATGTATAAACTTATAAATCTTAAAATTTGTCAAGCATAATATTTATGTCAATAAAATTAAAGATTCTAAAAATTAAAAAATTATTTTTTAAAATAAAAAATAAATAAGTCCAAAAATTGGACACATCCATATGAGTCTAAACCTTGAATTTAAAATTTTGATCTCTAAACTTTTGTCTTACAACACCTTTGTAATTCTAAAATCTAAATCTAAATTTTTAAAATTTTTAATCTTAAAATAAAAAAGAGTATGATCTGAACCAAAATCTTTGTTTGGATGTAGTGATTGTAACATAATCTTTATCTTATTTTTAAACACACCACACATTAAAAACTAATAAAAGAACTACACAAATTGACAACATACTAAAATAAAAACCAAGTTATTTTTGAGTAATATCTACTACTTATATCAATCTAATTCTACATAGATAAACATATAAAAGAATATAAATAGACTTTAATTTAAACCATAATAGACTTTTATCTAATTAAATCATCAAAAATGATTTATCAAAAAAAAATTAAATAAATTAAATAAGACTTGTAGAATCTGATCATTTATTTATTTAATACTTCTATATATTTACTAGTAATATTTTCTTTTATTATTTAGAAATTATTTAAATTAAAATATTATATTATTACAAAATAAAATAAATAAATAATTAAGAAGTATATCAATGCTTCTAATTTGGTATTCTAATAACCTTATAAATTAATATAATTGAATGTCCTATTATAAGAGTTTTAATTTTTATTATATTGATAAAGAGATGTTTAAATATAATAATAATGGCAAGCAATAGATCTATGTAGACACTTGATCTATTCTCTATAATCTACAAACTTTTATTTTTGATATTTTTGGAATAAAAATAAGTAGGGGCATTATTTTTATTTTTATTTGATCTTATATAGATAATATTTATAAAAAAATATTAAAAAAATATTAATATATAAAATTTATTTTTTGAAATGTTTATAAAATTTTATATATTAAAATAATATCAATAGTAGATCTTATGTGTAATTTTTTATCTATAATTAGTTTTTTTAAACTATAATTTTTACATAAAAAATTTGATCCATATTATAATAGTTATAAAATTGAATAATTATACTTTTGATGATTTTATTTTAATATTTTTTCTTAAATTTATTATAATTAAATTATAATTTATCTAAAAAATTTATTTTATTAGCTATAAAATTTAAATTCTAACAAAAAAATATTTATTGTCATTTTGTAGTTTTTTTAAAAATATATGTATATTTAGTTCTCTGAATTTTTTTAAAAAATAAAGATAATAAATCCAAAAATAATATAATTATCATTGTTAAGCCATGTTGTATCAAAGACAAGAATTTGATGAAGAAAAATAAACAAAAGAGGCTTTTTTCAAAGAAAGATGACAAAATAGAAATAAAAAAATATGCATATTAAAAAAAACTAAAATGGCTATTGCCAAAAGACAAAAAAACTAAAGATCCTTGAAACTAGACTAAAAGTAAGAAAGGAGTTGACATTGCCACATAGCTCTTAAATACATAATATATATATAGAAGTCCTAACATGTATCTAATTTGTGAGACACATTTCTAAACTTGTAAGGCAAAGTTTCCTATATGTATGCCACATTATTAGCTTGTACTATAAGCTACCAATACATACAATACATGGCTGACTTGTTGGCCAAGTTTCTAATCTATCAATCAGCTATAGACATGTATACAAGTGAAAGTATGTCTATGAGGCTTTTAAGAAGCTTCTCTTGAAGATATTATGAAATTAATCTACTTTTATCTACTTCTACTTATTCATATTATTTAAATAACTATTAGAGTAAATATATATGTTCATTACATGTTGTGTAAAATCCTCTCAAATGTTACAAGAATGATGCCAAAACACTTGAAAATGACATGTGTTCATTTCAATGATGATTAATTATATTAGATTGTTGTTTTGTCCAACTCAAGTGAAGTGTCTTTGCGTTGGAGGTTACTTTCTTTTTTGATATCTTCTTCTTCCTAATTATACTATTTTAAGATCCCTCATCTCAGCATTCTTTGGAAGCCATAACTCAATCTCATACCCAAAAAGCCCCCTAGTTTCAAGTAACTTCATCATCAGAAAAGCGAAAGCACCTATTTTACTTTATAATATACACTCAGATAGTTACCATCACGTGCTGCGATTACAGTCAGTGTGTACAACTACACCAAATGATATTTTAATTTTTAAAAAATAATTCATGCAAGCTACTGTTGAAAGCCCAGCCAGAGCCAACATTTGCAAGGTACTGAGTCTGCAGTTCACAGTGGGCACATTGCCGCTGGTTGTGCTCACTGTAGTTGGATATTGGGCCTACGGGAATTTTGTGTACCCATACACGATCTTCAACTTATCTGGCCCGAGCTGGGCCATATTACTAGCAAACATCGCCGCTTGTCTACAAGCACTTGTGGTGTTTCATGTATGTATCCTCTCTAACTACCTCCCATATTCGCACGTCTGTTGTTATTAAGCAGAGATTCCTAATAATGAACTCTGCTTTTGTTCTACCTCTTCGGAAGTTACAACTCCCGAAACAATGATACTGAAGCAGTAGGTGCTGCTGACGAACTGAGTGCAGATCTTTGTGACGTCTGTGTACGAGTTTCTGGACTCCTTCGTTGCACCCAAGGTGACATTGTTCTCCAAGTTATATGAAGACAAGACGAGTGATTGTACTCTGTCTGTTATCCTGGGCCGTTTCTGTCTTCGGGAGTGAGTATAATTGTGGGCAACTTCATTGCCGTCACAGGAGCCTTGCCAGCCTTCTGCCTGCAAGGTGGACTTATCCATCACATGACCCTAAAGATGGGTGGAATGATCTCACCTTTAGACTTCTCTCATGTTGGAGCTACTGCGTGGTTTCTAGAGTTCATCGAATCCAAGCCAGGGAGCTGGCTTAACATTGTGCTGAAAGTTGTTGGTTATCTAATCTAATAATGCTGCCTTCGTTGTTGCCTTGGATAGGTGTACGCCAGGGACTTTGGGCCGGGTCGTTTGGCATGGCGCGGGATCAACGTGGGCGTGAACATCATCGTGACATTTGTGGCAGTTGCAGTGGCACTGCACTATATTGTGCACGACTCCTACTTGTACCACATACTTGTATGAGGATGATCATGTTAGTTAATAATATACTCTACCCACAGGCTTTATTGAGACCGGATAGAGGCTCATATCTGCTGATTTCGTGAAAGCCTGGCGTTCTGCGGATTGTGACGATGTTGTCATCCCTATGAGTTGGTGTGATCCTGAACAAAATGTAGCTGTTACTTTCAGGACAAGCTATATTAATTTTGAGCAGTTTTGTTCAAAAACCTTCTAATGCATGGCTGTTGAGCATAAGCTATAAAACTTGCGAGTGAAATGCTCATGCGAATAGACAAATCTTGTTACAGCACCTGAGTTCATGTGATTATCAAGCACGTGTGTGATGTTTCTGCAATATCTCCAAAATGACAGTTGTAACAGTTTTCAGAAGCTCATCAATGGAGCTAAATAGAAACCACTCGGCAACAGAAGTCTCAGCCCATGGAAGAAGCACCTTTCCGGTCACCCTTTGAGACCTATAAGAGTATACAAGTGCACTACAATGTGAAAGTCTTAGTTGACATTGAATGATAGAGTTCTTGGAATAGCTGAAAATTAAGCTCCATCAGCTTCCTGAGGACTGCTGATGAGGACTTTACTACTCCAGGCTGTCAAGGATAGGTCTTCAAATGTAGGTCCGTCATTCGTTCACAGTTTCAGCTCTCGCAGCATCCAAAATGCCCATGCGTTGTATTTCCCTCCAAGTCTGACATGGACATTACTGCTTGCCGACTACTTCAAAGACGTATAATGCATCTACATTGATAAAAAAATAAACAAGATGGAATCTCTTCAAGTGACTTTCAGAGCTTCGGCTTCGGCTGCAGCCATGGGATCCTCGGCGGCATCACCTTGTTCGGTTTCCCCCTCTTGTGCCTCTTGTAATTTCTTCCTATCCGCTTCTTCGGCGGCACTCACAGTCGCCTGGTGCTCCACATTCAAACGGTTTATCTCCTCCTCTTGTTGCTGCCGCTCGAACCATGTGTCGGCGTCCGCCCACACTGCACACGCACACGAGGTAAATAGATTTTCTCATTTTTACCAGCACAATGGCCTAAATCACCGCAATAGGTCACAAACTACCGGAATTCCATATCACGAAAGCATCCGTCATTACAGTGACAATCCTAAAGATTCAGCATCGTGCTCACTTTGCTAAAGAATAGCTCTCACAGAAACCAAGAGCACAAAAATCCACTTACCTCGCCTAAATTCCAACTTGGTGTAACGTGAAATGTTGGGGTCACCTTACCTCCTATACTGATTGAAGATTAGGACAAACTAATTTTGATGAAATCTACTCTAGAGTACAAAGAAAAGCAGTCCACACCTGCTTGAGAGGCCCACCCTTGTTCTCCACCCTTCATTTTCTGAGGCTGTGCATAATTTACAGTGAGAACACGACCGTACAATTCACCATTGTGCATGTTGTCCATTGCGGCCGCCGCATCTTCTTTCTCAAAATAAGTGATGAAAGCGAATCCACGGTGCTTCTGTGTAGCCTGGTCTAACGGCATTGAAATATCCTTGACATCACCAAAGGGGATGGAAGCTGCATGCACGACTTGCTCAGTTACATTCTTCTCCAAACCACCTGTTCCACATAAAAGGCATCCTCAAGGTTGAATTCCACCTCTGAATCCTAGCACCGCCGAGCATCCCAACTCTTATATATATATATATATATATAGATAGATAGATAGATAGATATATTACAGATGTGACACCGTACGACTCTTGTCAACGTCATTATCTTTGCTTAAAGAAAAGCGCTATTACTCTCATCGAGGTTTTGAGCTGGTTTAGTCATAAATTATGAAAGAATTCAATGTATTAATCTCAACAATGCAATCCTTGAAATCGCTGCATCCGGTACTACTCATGTGTCTTCTCCCTATCTATTATAGAAACCGAGCGCTGTTACCATCAAGACAGTGAATACCTCTTGAGAATATCATCATGAAAATTAATTAAGGTTTAAGATTTTAGGGTTATCTCTATAACATCCCGACTATGGAATTGAATTCTCAATTCAAGTTCAACTATACCAGTACTACATGAAACCGGCAAATGCAGAAACGTTATCCTCTCCGCTTGACAGCAGTTCAGTGCTGAAAAGAACCATCGAGTACATATCATCCTCGCCCTATCAATGACGAATAGTACTTCCATACTATTCGCTCCTGAGACATGCGACTTGAACAACAGCCTCTACCTCAACCTCAGCTCAACATTTTCAAACACAAATTCAACCACGATTTTTCAGAATCCTTAAATGCTAGATTTCGATCAGTACAATCTCTTCTTCTCATTGCTTCAAGAGAACATTGAGAGAGAAAAACAAAAAACAAAAAATTACTGCCATTCTAACCTTTCAGAAATCAGCGAAACACGTAAGAAACACGAAGCACTTAAAGAGCGGCGTACCGACGTAAAGTGACGTCTTGGGACTGGCACCCATGAGTGCAACCAGGTGAATTGAAAGCCTAAGCTTGCGAAAGCCCGCTCCCACATCTGCTATGCCCCTCCCTCAAGACCCTCCCCGCAACATCGCCTCTGGACCTTCAACACCTTGTGGACCCAACTCCTTGCGATCGAATCCGCAATGCCTAAGGCTCTCACATTCGCCAAGTGAGAAGGTGAAGACGAGACGGAAGCTGCAACTTGAGAGAACTTGGGCTTTGACAAAGCCCATGTACTACAATTGCTTGCACGGGGCAGACACGAAGTGACACCGGAGGAGCTCTTTCAGAATCGGTGCCGCTGGTGGATGAACGATTTGGATGAATGTGTGATGTACCTTTTGGATGCACCTTTTGGATGCAAGGCGTTTGTTACTATGGATCTGTTGTAGGCAGGCCACTTTAAATTAGGGTTTTTCTGCAAAAAGTCCTAGAATAAGCTTTGGAAGATGCCCTAAAATAATGCCTCAATGGTCTTTCTCCAATCTGTTGGGGAGGAACTTCATAATGAGTGTATAGTCACACTAGTCATACAGAGGGATATGTATGTCAATTTTACAATGGTGAACGAGTTGCAAACACCTTGGAAATCTATTATATGGACAAAGTTTGGTCTTGTGCCTAATCTATGAGATAAGAACACAAATTAGGCCCTCTCAGTGCACTGCTTAATCTATAAGAAGCTTAGTTGTGAAGAAGTCAATTTTACAAGGCATAAGAGCAAGTAGATAGTGAATGTGAAATCTTTTACAATTCCATTTTGCATTGATAACATTATGGCACATATAAAGTCCTTACTCTTGTTTCAAAACTTTCTAGTCTTCTTCTCTTTGGTAATAGCTATTTTAATTTAATATAATACCATCTTTTAGTAATTTTTTAGTCTTTTTAAGTAACACAAGAGTTTATTGATCTTTTAGTTCTTTAAGATTCATGTCCTTGACAATCTGACAAGAGTGCTAACTTGTTGTTTTTGTTTTATTTTAAGAGTGGATTACACTACTTCTATCATTGTATTTTGAAGGTTGTAGACTACCCAATTTTAAACTAACTTTTAATTTTTCAACATTGATAGTTTTTCTTATAGAGAGTGGATTATGACTCTTTGTAGAAATTTTCATTTGGTATTAGAGATTAGAGATTACCTTCCTCTAACTTGACTTGTGAGTTTATTTGAGTCATATATAAAAGAAAAAAATTATGGATGCTACTCACGATAGAAGTGAAAATAGATTTGCAACTATTGCAAATCTTCTAAAGCTTGCCAACACTCTTAAGATTGGAATCTCACATATTTCTAATGAAAACCATAGAAGTAACATTCCTACACCTATAAAAGAAGTCAATAATAAAATTTAGACTAAATAAATAATTAATAAAAGTTATACTTATTGCTTCTCTAAATTTTATTAATTACTATTATTAATTTATTAATTGCTTCTCATAAATTATTTTTTTTTATTAACTTTTATTATTTTTTTATTAATTATCTAACTTTATTAATTATTTATTAATTATTTATTAATTTTTTAAATAAGCAAGTATTAAGTTATACAATTAAGAAAAGCAAGTATATCAAGTTCACAATTGAATGCAATAAGCTTTATTTCTATAAATATGAAAGAGGGAAGCATAAGTATGCTGAAGAAGTTTGATAGAACAAGATCAAAGTTTTGAGGATTTTTACAATAGATAAAGTTCTTTCTAAGATTGCATCCATCGCAATATCCTAATGGATTTACTCAAGTTGGATTCACATTTGCACTTCTATCCAAGAGTGTTCTCTCTTAATTTTCATCTTAAATAGAAAAAAATTCGGAACTCTTTTATGTTTTAAATTCATTCTTAAAAGACTTTACAACTACATGTAGAGAAAGTGATTGTCTACTATCTTTACAACAAGGATCACATTTAGCCACCATATATGCTACAAAATTCCAATATCTTTACTTGCAACGTGAATTGAAATGACAAAATTCTTATCAATCAATTTTCATATGGATTGAAATATAACGTCAAAGATTTATTGTTGATGATGTCAAGAATAGACTCATTAGAACAATTTATTGCTCAGTCCATTGTATGCAATAATCAACTCTTTGAAAGATATTAAGAACAAAGGTTTGATTGAAGATGTACAAGTCAAGCTATGGCAATAATTTCTAAGTTTGCAAAAACTTATTTATGTCACGGACATACATATAATTACCTATATGAATAGATAAAAGTATGTAAAAGTAGATAAAAGTAGGTTAATTGTGTAATATCTTCTAGAGAAGCTTCTTAGAAGCTTCATAGACGCTGCTTTGACTTTATAGGAGTCTATAGTTGACTTTTAGGCTAGAAACTTGGTCAACAAGTTAGCCATGTGCCACACATGTTGGAAGCTTAAAGAACAAGCTAACTACGTGGTCCATCCATAGAAAACTTGCCTTGTAAGCAAAGGCATGTGGCCTAGAAAGTCAACATATATTGGAGGTCATATAGAACATCGCCATGTGGCTTCTAGTTAGATAGTATATATAGAGGCAAGAGTGAAGCCCTCTTCACTCTTGTCAACTCTTTTCTTGCTTCTAGTCTAGTTTCAAGGGTCTCTAGTTTTCTTGTATTTTGGCAATAGCCATTCTAATTTCTTTCTTAATATACATATTTCTATTTTGTCCTATTTCTTTGAGAAAAGTCTCACTTACTCTTTAGCTTTCATCGAGTTCTTGTCCTTGACAGATTGACAAGAGTACACTTACAATATGAGAGCTTTGTCTTTTCTTGATTAAGAGTGGATTACCCCTTTTTCTTGATAAGACATAAGCGTATTAAAAGTTGCGGATTACCCTCTTTTAAACTGATATTGTTCTTAGTATTTTCTTTGTTATCAATTCCTCTCTTCTATTTGTTTTGAGCGTTATTAGAAATCTTCTCTTTTCTAAGTGCTACTATGGCAGAGCTTGTTGAAATGAAGAGTGCAATGGCACAGATGCAAGAACAATTGAGGGAGTTAATGCTTGCGATGCATCAACTCAATTTACCACCACAAGGAGCAACAAGAATGGTAGGAAGTGAAGATATAGAGATGATTGGGGCTGCTTCAACATCTGCACCAAACCATGTCCCTTCTCCCAGAATGGAACACCCTTCGAGTGTTAGAGAACCGAGAGTGGCCTTGCCCGAGAAGTTTGATGGTACCAGATCCAAGTTTCGAGGATTCATCAATCAGGTCCAATTAGTGATTGAACTTCAACCCTAGAGCTATCCAACTCCAGGGTCACAAGTTAGATTCATTGGTACACTTCTTTCAGGTTCAGCATTGTCATGGTTTTCATCTTTTCTTGAACGACGAGATCCAATATTGGATAATCTGGAGGCTTTTTTGGCGGAGTTTCGATCCATGTTTGGAGAACATGATGCAATTCGTGTTGCAACCAACAAGATCCGTATTTTGCGACAAGGCAATCGATCAGTAACATTATATGCTTCGCAATTTCGACAACTTGCAACTGATATCAAGTAATATGATGCCGCACTTGTGAGTCAATTTCTCCACGGATTACAATATGAGGTAAAGAAATTGATGCTTAATTTACCTGATCCTCAAACATTGAGTCAAGCAATTGACTTTGCTGTGAAGTGCGACAATCGACTTTTTGAATTTCGATCCGAGAGTCGCACAAGTAGGCCTCAACGTTACTACAATTCAATGGCAACACCGACGTCTCCTCAACACATACCTTCAGAAGTAGAGGATATGCAAATTGATGCGGTACGTTTCAAACCTCTTACTGAGCAAGAAAAGTCTCGTCGTCGACAAGAAGGATTGTGCTTATATTGTGGAGAACCTAAGCACACTGCTCAACATTGTCCAAAGAAGCGACGTAACTACAAAATGAGGAGTACGGCTGTCAAAGAAGACAGTATGTCGGAAAACGAGTACGTCCAGCTACAATAGGGACCGTGCGGCTGGAATCTTGTACAACTTCTAATGAAGGTCCTATCCTCTCCTCAGAACCATCTCATTGTTTTATAATAGATGTGCGTTTAGGACCTAATAATTACAAAGCCTCTGCCTTGATAGATTCAGGAGCCTCAGCTTGTTTTTTAGATGAAGAATTTGCTAGATGTCATAGAATATCATTAATACAAAAAACTAAACCTGTACACGTAGAAGTCATAGATGGTCGTCCGTTGTCTTCTGGAGATGTAACTCACGAAACACTTCCTGTAGATGTAGTAATAAATGGTCATAGTAGTTGCGTAATTTTTAATATAATTAGATCTCCCTCTAATCCAGTAATTTTAGGCTTATCATGGTTAGAAAAGTATAATCCTCGAATAGATTGGATTTCTCGTAAACTTGATTTTCCTCGGAGCATTAGTAACAGTTCTATTAATCAAGTAAAAAACCATGAGTCTAGTATAGTAAAACCCACACTTATAGGTGCAAAAGCATTTATACACGCAGCAAAAGAAGGATCAACTTTTGCTATTTATGCTGCACCTATTTCTGAAAGCGTAAAGACTTCAAGTGGCATTCCAAGTCAATATCAGGATTATCGAGACGTTTTTGAGAAAAAGAATGCAGATATTCTTCCTGAGCATCGCCCATACGATTGTTCAATCGATCTCAAGGAAGGAACTCAGCCACCATTTGGACCAATTTACAGTTTATCGCAAGATGAGTTGGCTGAACTCAAGACATATATTGACGAGAATTTAGCGAAGAATTTCATACGCCATTCAAAATCTCCAGCAGGAGCTCCAATTTTATTCGTAAAGAAAAAGGATGGATCTTTACGAATGTGTGTTGACTATCGAGGACTCAACAAGATCACAATCAAGAACAGGTATCCATTACCTTTGATATCAGGACTCCTTGACCAGTTAAATCAAGCTAAGATCTATACAAAAATAGATCTAAGAGGAGCATATAATCTAGTACGGATCAAAGAAGGAGATGAATGGAAGACTGCGTTTCGAACCAGGTACGGACACTTTGAATACAATGTCATGCCTTTTGGACTCACGAATGCACCAGCTGCTTTTCAACATCTCATGAATGATGTATTTCGTGAATTCTTAGACAATTTTGTCGTCTGCTACCTAGACGATATCTTGATTTATTCTAAGAATGTTGAAGAACATGAAATACATGTTCGTCAAGTATTACAAAAACTTAGAGATGCAGGATTGTACGCCAAGATAGAAAAGTGTGTATTTCACACTACTCAAGTTGACTTTTTAGGATACATCATTTCAAATGATGG